TTACAACTGCACGAGTTGTGCAGAGGGAGGGAAGGAAATTCTGTGCAACTGCTGTAATGGTATTTATTAATTAATCCTCATATCTCAGTGGTGGCTCCAAAACTTGCACTGGTGAATGTAACACAAAACCAGTCCTCCAAAGCCCAGATCCACCACCACACTGGGGGCTGGTCTAGGAAGTGGTTTCCGTTGCCATGAAAATAAATAGAAACATGAAGTTTAAGGCTTCACTGTTAGAACACCAAGGCACATTTATTTTTCTGGAAATCATTCTTTGCCAGTTCACACTTTACAACCCAGGGAAGACACATTCTGTCCAGTCAGGAAAAGTTTCCCACTGCTACTGTGTGTTTGTTCTTTGGATCCTTCTTCATCTAAGGACCGAAAAATACATGTTTCCTGAGCTGCCAGTTAAACACAGGCACTAAAATAAAATGAGTAAAATAAAATTACTCCCCTTAGCATTCTCATCTTTGCTCTACCTACAGCTAATTGAACCTGCCAGATCTGGGTTTGGTTCAGCTCAAGCACGGCCACATCAAAGCTCTGCTCCTCCGCATGGAAAGGGCCCATCTTACGCAGAGCTAACTGGGAAAGGTGCTGATGGTGCACGTTACATCAGCCTGAATGCCAATATATTCCTGTCACCGGGGAACACCAGCCTTGGGAACGGCTCCCTCTGCACAACTAAGAGCAGCCAAGAGCAGTGGGACACCTGAAGCCTCAAATGTGAACCAGTTTGGGCCCCAAACCCGAGCCCTGCACCTTGAAGCCGTGTCGCTGATGAAAACATTTTCCCTTCCACAGACACACCACCTGATTATGTTATTAATCAGCTCCCTGCAAAGCTAGAAAAGGTACAAGGTTATGCTCTTGGTGGCTCCTTCAAGATGCCTGATTCTGCTCCTTATCCCCAGCCCTGAGGCTGAATCCAGCCCTGCCTCCCCGGCTCTCCAGGCACTGCCCCTGCCATCTGTGGAGTCACAAGGCAGAGCCTTCGTGTTTTTGGGAGTGCATGCAAAGATGAGAAGTTCTGACAAGGGAAGTACCAAACTCAGCCTTTTCCGCCCCAGAAGATGGAAGTGATTGCATAACCTCCCCCTCTCCTCCTAAAGGAAACAAGAATATTTAAGTATATTTAAGATTTTTTTGGCTTCCTCTTTTCTCAGTGGTCATCACGATTAGTGTTTGCCAGTGCACACAAAGTTTGCACTTTGTGTCACTGATTTGTGAAAGGTCAGTGATTGCTCCCAAAAGAGGGGAAAACAGTAAAATAACCATGCAATGATTAATTCCAACTTGTGGGGGAGAGCAGGAGGAAAGGGGTGCAGGATCTGAATGGTTCAGCAGCTGCTTCCCCAGCACTGGGGCAGCAGCAGAGCCATGTGGGATCAGAGAGGGCGTCAGACCGGAGCTCCAGCCCAGATCTGCCAGTGAGCACCTTCCCTGTGATGTGCAAATTGTTTCAACCAGTTTTTCTGCAGGGTGGAGAAATAAATCTCTGTTCTTTTTATTCTAGAGCTGTGAGATTATATTAAAGAGAGGCATGCCCAGCTCTAGAATGAGAGCTTAAGACACTTTTCTTTAAAGACCTGATGCATAAATAAAAAGGATAATTATGGTGACAACAAGTAAAGCAGTTATAGAGCTCTAGAGCACCAATTCCTACAACTGCACTAAAGGATTTAACTTGGACAGAATGGGAAGAAATCACTGAAATCCTCATTCACACAAGGTGCGCTGTCAGCTCTCACAGGAACAGATCCCCAGCTCTGGAATAATTTATGTGGATAGTAAAGGAGGTAGGACAGTTGTGGTCAATTCCCTGGACAATTTCCAGGTTACAGCTGAAATGCTCTGCAAGATTATGTCATTTCCACAGCTCTTTTAGGATTTCTCAGCTTAAGCCAACACCAAACAAAGAGTCCCCATCTAAAAATGCCACCTTCTTGCCACTGTGGAAAGGACAAGGCACTACCAGGTTCCATTTTAATTGTCCGGGGAAAAAAAGGTGGACAGAAACACCTGAATGAGTTGACTCAAGAATTTGCAGTACAAGTTCCTTAACCAGCCGGCTTTACCTCGGAAAACTCCCCTCAGTGCTGCCCCAGCCGTCAGGGTAAGCACATGCACCTCCCTGCAGGTTCAGCTGCTTTGATATCCCTCTGATGAAAGGCTCCTGTGCCGCTGCTCCCCCAGCCCACACCTTCTCCTTCACACAGGGGAGGGGAAGCCAGTTAGTGCTCATTAGAGAAGAAAAAAGCACAAAGCTGAGGAGTGAGGAGTGCCTTTTATTAAAGCTAATTTCTGAGGCCAGCCCACACTTCCCACTGCTGGCAAAGAGACTCGGCTTTACAGCCTCTGTTTGCTGCAGCCTGTTTTAATACAGAACAAAACCTCTCACTGGGTACTGATACAGCCAGGAGATAGCTGCTCATAACATGCAATCTGGGAAAGTCTGTATTTTACATCTTTCTTATTCCCACTGCAAACAGAAAAATATTTCCTCCTCCATTTTTTTTTTCTTTAGAAAGAATCCATTTTCCAGTCAAAAGCCAATGCGTGATGATATAAAAATGTCAATTAAATCTCAGCTGAGGCAAGAGAGAAGGAACTTACTGACCAAATAAATGGCTCCTTAACACCTCACATGGTCAAAACCTTCTGCAGCAAGGAAAGTTTGGGTTCTCACCTGGCAGGTAACACCAGCATTAACACAAAGCTTAGTGCTCACAATAACTCTTGGGATGCTTTAAACCTTCCTATGGATCAACACTGGGCAAGGGAGATTTTACATCAGCTGCTTCCTCTTCATAAATGATTACGTAAAAAGCTGGTCTAGCTTTTGATGTGTGTTTAAACACAAAAGTTCACTAAACAAATATTTTTTAACTCCTTTGATGTAAAGGGTAATGGAAACAACTGTCTGCACACATAGAAAGTGTTTCGCTAGGAAAGGGCTGTTTCGCTATCAGCAAAGAGCACAGACCAAATGAACCAGATGATTCATTAAAAATAAAAACCCACCGAAGCTGGCTGGTTTGAGATAAAAAACTGAACCAAAGATACTGTTTCTGTGCTTCAGTGGCAGTTTCAGAACAGAACAGAGCCTTAAACGTTCCTTACTTTTACCAGAAAGGTGTGCTCATGCTGCTCCGAAGCAAACTGGTAACTGAAAGTCACAGCCAAGATTTGGAAGCAGCTCAGTTTCCAGCTCCCTTTTTCCCCCTAAACATGATTTAGGAAATCAGGTCTGTGGTTCAAGAGCGGGTCAGACCACACTTCTGCCAGTCCTCTGGGTGCAGGTGATAAAGAAAAAGCAAAGCCTGAGAAGAGACCCTGGGCTTAAAATAGAGATACCAGACATGACAGCGACACAGCCTGAGTGTCCCAGCAGCACCCAAGGCACACACCAGGTTTGCAAAAGGGAAGCTGTTACAAAAGTCTTGCTGCACAGACAACAGAGAAAACAGCTTTGAGCAGCAGCACCACCTAAAATCTAGAAATGACCACGAATTCAAAGCTTTTCCTCTGAATAACTGCATTTCTGCATGACATTTTAAGGTCTAAATACACAGCTCCCAAGAAACTCAAACCCAGTGAGTTCTGTAAGGGCAGGAATGATGCAACTTTGCACTTGTGAGAAAATTTAATGTATCCAAGCCCCCTATAAATGTATGGCATTCCTTTGTATGGGTGCAGGCAGCTATCTTATCCAGTTAAGATTATAAATAAATTGTAATTATAAGGTTAAACCACATTTAATAACATTATGGGATGATAAAAAACTATATGTGGGTTGCCCTCTGGTTTCTGACACTTGAGTTATCTATGCTAAAACTTTAATATAAACTATCAAACTATTTTAATTACTCTTATTTTTTCTGATAAATACTTGTTTAAATGTCCTTACATCTCTCTCAAGTCCATCAAAAAGGTGCTTTTTACTCCCTTCCTGGCCCAGTATCTCCAGTCCATAATAAAGACAACAGTAAACCTACCTCAAGCTCTTCTTCCTCCAAACCAGGTGTTTTGGCAGCCTTGGTTTTGCTGTTACTAGGAAAGATCTCTTAGCAGAGCCTGAAGCTGGGTAAGGGTTAGCAACCTGACTGCAAAGCACTGAGAAACATCACACAAACAGCTGAAAGAAAAAAGAGAACATGTCCTCTAGACAGATGCAGAATCTCTCTCTCTTTACAGCAAGAGCAGAAATAATTTCTTGCAGAAGGAAGCTGTACAATCAACAGCGCCTTGCTGTCAACTGCTGAGCTGCCAGCTCTCATCAGGACCAGTGTTACACCACCAGCTCTAATGCTCATGGATGTGAATCATCTTCTTAACGCCAATGAGGATATCCACAGTCCTAAGTAAATGTCAGTGAGATTTTTCTAAATTGCTTCAGATAAAATCACAGAATTGTAGAATATGCTGAGTGGGAAGGGATCCACAAGGATCATCAAAGACAGCCCCAAGAATCCCACTCTGTGCCTGAGAGTGCTGTCCAAACGCTTCTTGAACTCAGACAGGGCCCACAACCACTTCTCTGGGGAGCCTGTTCCAGCACCCAACCACCCTCTGGGGGAAGAACCTTTTCTTAATACCCATCCTAAACCTCCCCTGATAAGAGTTTCACGCCATTCCCTCAGGTCCTGTCCCCACAGAGCAGAGGTCAGTGCCAGTCCCACCCTTCCCCTCACGAGGAGGCTGTAACTGCACTGAGGCCTCCCCTCAGTCTCCTCCAGCTGAACACACCAAGGGCCCTCATCCACCCTCGAGGCCCTTCACCACCCTCCTTTGGACACTCTCTAATAGCTTCATATCTTTTCATATTGTGGCACCCAAAACTGCCACAATATTCAAGTGCAGAGCAGAGAGGGGCAATCTCCTCCCTCACCCAGTGATGCTGGGCCTGATGCCCCCCAGGACGCTGTTGCCCCTCCTGGCTGCCAGGGCACTGCTGACTCAGTGTCCGTGGCCACACTGGTTTGAAGAGAATTATGAAAGAAAATTGCTCATACATTTATTTGACACATTTAAAAAAGACAGACATGAAATAAAGTTACGTTCCCTTAGCTCATTTGCATATAAATTTGAAAAGCAGGATGAAAAAGTACCTCTGTCTTAAAGTAAGAACTAACTGGGGTATCACTGACACATAAAAACCCGCACGTTGTCCTTGCACACAGGCAGGGCCTGATTTTGGAAAAATAAATGCATGTCCATATGTTTGTGCCTGAGCTTCATTCACCCCAGAGCAATGTTTACACATCCAGGTGTAAATATATAAATATAAACCCAACCTTCATTTTTCCAAAGACTGAATGCATGATCAGTTGTACCCACAACGTGGGCCACAAATAAACGTTCGTATCAAAACTGCACAAGCAGAAAACTGCAGTTATTTCGAAAGCTCGCTCAAAAGGTGGGCCTCAAATTATCAGCTATTATTCCTGGTTAAAGATTTATACGAAATAAGCTCAATTTGCCTTATTGATGGAAAGATCATGTGAATAAACCATGAACTTTCTAGCACAGAGGATTAATTTTTAGTAAAATAAACTGTGTTCAGAAACAAGCAAAACACTGAATAACTGCAGCTGCTAACAGACCAGGAAAGGGGTTTTACTTTGCTGTCATCAGTTGATATGACTTTTTAACAGCAGTGAAACATACCCAGATCTAAAATTTTGCTTTGTAAATATTGAGATTTTTCTTTCTATAAATATGACACTGGTTCATGCAATATTAATGTCTAATTCATAAAGACTTCAAAGGATTATCCTCATTACGGTTCCAAATGACAAACATACTTAGCTAACTCTAAAATTTCTTAAATTGTGTTCTCTAATTTTGCATTTTTATGATCTTTCCATAATTTGGAATTGCTTCCTACTTTTTGCTTACACACAGATTTGGGTGACCACTCGTGCCATCGAGGTAATACTTCAGATTTTATGACTTCTTAAGCCTTCGAAGTTTTAACTTCCTGAGACCATTTTCAGGTTCTTTTTTTCTTTTTTGGGGAAGCTTCTCTGAAGACACAGCTTGCAGCTCTAGAGTCGATGTTGGCACTGCAGGCAATCCTTCAGTGGCTGTGCTTGGCTCATTCTGGCTTGTCTGCACTCTACTGTTCCTCTCAGAAAGAGGCTGGGAGGGTTCTTCTGTCCAAGTGAATGATTGCTTGTCTTGCTTAAAAAACCTGGAATTAAGGGGGGTCTCCTCCTCCAGGAATGGACCCAAACAATCAGCATTGCACTTACTCATTTCTGTATCGACAGAAATTAAAGGAGTCCCTCCAGAGGACACTTTTTTGCACTGCTCTGACTTCTCCTCTGACCCACAGCTCTTCAGCTGAGCCTGTGTTTTGGTCACTCTTCGACTTTGCTTTGGGCCCAGCAGAGCTGACTCAGAGCCGCAAGGAGGGTTCTCGCTTAGAAGACTCGACTCCAGCCACTCCAGAGCGTGAGGTTTTTGCTGGCTGCTAACATCATCTGCCTGTCTCTGATTAACATAATTTTCCAGCTCTAAAACAGGAAGCTCCAAGCTGCTCCCAGCTGTATTTGTACAGTCCTTCAGCAGGCCTGGAGTCCAACGTTTCACATCAGAGCGAGGACTGAGAGAAGTTTGACAGTCGTTCTTTCTGTTCTCTGTCTGTGAGTCCCCCGAGCCAAGATACACTTTCTTGGAGCCCTTGCTGATTTGAGGTTGGCTTGCACTACTCTTCCTTGTTTTCTTCCTTTTCACACTGCAATTAAAAGGAATTTTGTTTTTTTAAATTAAAAAAAGAAGACTCTTTACTGCCTCGATCTGCCCTTCTTCCAAACCCTGGAACACCACTAGGGCCACCCTCTTTCTGAACATGGGAAAAATCCCTGTATGTCATCTTGACAAGCAGCAATGTTTGTCTAAGTGTGCATAACATCAAGTGTTATCCATCTGATTTTCCACTGCACTAGGGGAGAACCCTATTTATTAATGACTAAGCCACGAAGGAGTGAGTTCACATTCTACTCCAAGAGGCAGAACTGGATTCATTACACATGTTAAAGGTCAACCCAGCAGAAGTATATTGAATTCCTTCCTGAACTGGCTTGATAAAATAGCATTTCATAAGTGCCTAAACGATTCCAAACCATTCCCATATATCCACATGCATAATGTATAGCTACAGGACAGAGGGGGCTGGCAGGGAGAGGCAGCAGAGAGTGTGTCTCTGTGTGAGAGCTTCTAATCTCTATTTTAGAATGTTCCTCTGGAATTTTTCCCAGGACATTTCAAAGCGTTGCTTTGGAGTTAACCACTACTCATCTCGTATCAAGCTCGCTCATCTGGGAAGAACTTAGTTAATGCAAGTAGATGATATTCTAAAAGGAATTATACAGGAAAATGGGATCACAAGGGACCTGATGGAGTGTCAGTACATAAGCACCCCTTGGCAGGGTGTTACCTACAAATCCACATTTCACATAGGCCATGAGATCAATTTTAAGCCCAAGTACTGAGGCTGCATTTTGAGTCTAAAAATGTCACTTGAACTGTGACCAAAGGTCCAGATTCTCAAAATGGACAAAACAATGTATTTGCAAAGTGTTTTTCACCAGATTCAAGCATCACGTATTTATTTTGGCTCAGAGCTTCATTCAAGGAAAAAAACAGCCTGTTTTGATTCTACCCAGTGCTATGTGAGATATCTAAGAGCTTTCTCCATGCTGTAAAAAACTGCAACATTCATTTTATGTGCTTATCCCCACTAGAGTAGCAGTCTCTTGGCAATTTAAAACAATCTTTTGTAGAACAGTTTGTATTCTTTGAAATTTTGTTACATAGGCTAGATCCTACCAACCCAAATTCCACCCATTTTAAGTTCAAAAGCTTAGGAAGAATAGTGACATACATTCTTTTCAGGATGTCTTGCTTTATTTGTTCATTCAGACTGATCTTAAGCTTCTTGTTCTCAGCAGATTCAGTAAAATATTCAGATGTCCCACTGGAAAATTCTTCTTTCTGCTCCAAAAGAAAACACAGGTTTAAAACATGACACATCAAGCTATGATTATTCAACAGAAAACTCCATTTCTAATACAGAGACTTACAGCTGTTCTTTATTATTTTGATCTGAGCAGTCTAAGAGAAACAATTATTTTTAATCTTTTAATATTTGGGAGTCTAGTCAGCTCCCTCCCCTTTCAGACTCCCGACCAACATATTTCATATGCTAAAATACACCACAAACAAACAGGACTGCAATGTAAAGGATGGAGCTTTCCAAACCAGCCCGAGGAAACTGCTGGCAAATATTTGACATCTTTGTGGCTCAAACTGTGACAAATGCCAGGAATCTCTCTTGCAGACAGGAGCATGTTTGTCAGTCAGGTTTTTTTTCTGAAGAGACTGACTGGCGCAGTGGTCTCTACGCTTATTCTCAGAGGAATTCCCACAGCTTTCCGTACTTAGGAAAAACATACAGAGCGGTATTTGCTCCCTGAAGAAGGCAAGGGTTAAAACTTTTAATTCTACCATTTAAACTCACAGATTGTAGTGGTTGGCTACTACAGGACAACAAGGGAATTCTTTCTGGTCTCAGCTAACAGCAGCGCCATGGTTTTACATAATACGAGGTTGGGGCGAGCGGGAGGGAAGGAAAATGCTCTTTTTCTTCAAGCTGTGAGCATTTCCTTTCACAATGAAACAATCTCCATCAGAGAAGGGCCATTTGCTGACTTCACTATTAACTACCACATGCTCCAAAAAAGTATTATCTCCGAGGCTATGGAGGAGAGGGGAAAAAAAGTGGTAAAGGCAAGAAGAGAAGAGGCTTTGTGCGTCTCCTTGGCTTTGACAGCACTTTTCTCCATCAGCCTGAACGATGCAGCCTCTGGAAGGGGCTCAACAAACACAGGGAAGGCTTATTTAGCCCATTCCTTGCTCTGTGCCATGAAGAGAACACACTGGAACCAGGTGGCATGGGAGAACCTGTGGAGGCACAAAACCAAAGCCTGTACACGACCCCCGCCTGGAAAACCCCTCAGAAACCTTGTCACTTAGGGGAGATTAAGCCCTGCCCATTTTTATCTCTGTTTTAAAGGAGATGGGGGGAAACCTCCATGCTCTTTCCAGAAGAAACAGCCAGTGAAAACAGCTTCCTGTTTTGTAAACAGGAGGGCAGTCAGGCAAAGAAGTAAAGCCATTTTGGTCCTTAAAACTATGGCTGTTCCCAGCCTCCTTTCAGAAGCATCTCACAAAAATGTGTGTGTGTGCATTGAGAGATCCACCCAGTGCTGTCCACTGATGGTGCAAGGAGTGTGTTTACAGCAGGCAGAAAACACATGGGACTTACCTGCAACGTGATTTCAACCCTAGAAATCAAGCTTAACTAGTTTAATCTGAGGGATTAATTGCTGCTTCTATTCTTGTTACAGGCAGATTCCCCTAATTTGACTAAATACGTTTTCGTACTTTGTAAACTATTAAAGACTGGAACATTATTAAGATACTCAAGAGTTTGGCCAATTTTAAGAGAAGACAGACTGCAAAGCCTGGAGAAAGTATTCTGATTTCCAGTAACAGTCACACAACTTGGACTTAAGGCTCTTGCACAATCCTCCTGCATCAAAGCAGCTGGAGAGCACTCACACTCGGCCAGGGAGTGGGAGCCCAAGCAGATAAAGAAGTGGAGTTTCTGCTGTAAGGTGAATTCTGTTAAACCTTCTTCAGTCCCCAGCACAGCCAACTGTGCCAGGACCCCCAGCCCACTAAGGGAATTCTTGTACATGTGGAAAGTAGAACTTGCTACAAAATCCAGGGGAGAACTGGGGGCAGTTCCTGTCCACACTCACTCCTGCAGATAAGCACCAAACCTCAGTTCTAACTTGTACCTGACCCGAAGCAGGGTGTGAAGGGCAGGCCCTGGAGACAGGCAAAGATGGCCAAGTCATGTCACCTGTGAGTTAAGTCAGGCTGGAGTTTAATACTCCAGAGGTGAAGGACTAACATATTCCCTCACCGCGCTATCATCAACCTTTTGTTTTGCTTTCAAATAACTTATCGCATGAAGCGGTGACAGAAAAGGGTTAAGGCATCAAAAAAAAAATTAAAAATCAAAATGATTTATATGTGAAACACTTCTGAACATGCCCTCTAAGTACAGTAGATTTTCCCCTCGGAACCACACCCTGTAAGTGCTGTATTTTGAGAGCTGAACAATTAACATAAGGCATATGAGTCAGTCTTTGAAAGACTCTGTGGGAACCAGAGAGCCTTTTGCTATTAGGAGTGATGTAAACTCCCTAAGGCTGGAATAAGTCCACAATAGAAGGCAGAGAGAGAGAGTCATAAATAACAACAATGGGCACTCCATATACTACTAAGACACTCAGCCATTATTGGTGATACTTCCTTTATTTTCTTTATTAGACTTAATAATTTTAGTTAATTAAAAAAAAAAAATAAAAATGGCTCTCTGTTTTGAGAATCCTATTTATTTCCTATGGGAACTTCAGGACTTGTTAAAGAAACAAAAAGAAAAAGCTAATCTGCTCTCATCCTGTCTAGTAATCCCAAATTCCTTTTAGGCAGTGAAATAATTAAAGAAAAATATTCCAGGCATAAAAGGGAGGACAGCAGAAGCAGACATCATATAAACAATGACACCACGACAGAGAAAAACGTCAAAGCACCACCAGACTTGCGACTCGACTCTGAAAGAGCTGCAGGGAGTGGGATCGCTGCGAACAAATTAAAACCACATTTCTTGGCAAATCGTTCAAGACAGACATATTTACATTTGTATAGAGACTGGGTGGGCACAAAAGATTAAAATGCTTCTCTAGCCCTTGAACTGCCAAGTTCTATTAGAAATATGTGCACTTAAAATCCCGGGGTAAGCTCACACTCCTTTTTGTCACTAAAACTCGGCAGAGAAGGGCCTGCAGAAGTGAAGCTGCCCAAGTCTCACCAGCCAACCTGCTCATAATACTGGCCTCCCCAAAACTGAATTCTAAAATCCTTAGTACTTATCCAAAGAGAGGTCTGAGAGGAAAAAACCTGTATTAAGACCTAGAGAGAAACATATCTGTTTGGCACATATCATACTTCCTTTAAGGTTTATCAAATTGAAAATTCTTTTTCTTTTTTTTTTTTCGGCTATTTCACTCAACTTACTGCTCAGAGTGAAAAAGAAATCCTCAGAAATGTAAAAGAGGTCACTGCCATCTCCAGCTCTCTCCAGGGCAGCTGAATTCAGCATTAAATAGCTGTTAAAGAACTCCTCGTGGATGGGCACTTGTGAGGAACCCTTACAACTCATTACCCTGAAGAAGAGTGAAAGAGTTTGGCCTTTTCAGCCTGACAATAAACTCATACAAATACTGATTTATTTTTTTTTCCCAGTCTAATGCTGGGTTGAAAGAAAACCTTCTAAACTGAACAATGCTGCCTCCCTTTCCTGCCTTCTTATTTGGTGTCATACTTTCTAGTTGTCTCTTACTCTTCTCAGTGGCACATATTTATGCACCAACAAAGTAACACTAAGGGAGAAACAAATTTAATGTCTGGTTAACCAAAAAACAAACAAACAAACAAACAAACCAACCCCACGATAAAAATTAAATTGTTTAAAAAATACATTTATGAATGTGGTTCATCAAAAGTACTTAGTAGAAAACATCAATGGGTTCAAGAAATCAAATTTTGTATTACAGTGGCAAATGGGAGGGGGACTATAAATATAATAACGTAGACAAAGCTATGAACTGAAGTATTATCCCAGGCACACACAATAGAAGCAAAATTAGTGAAATTATTAAGACAGAATTTATTTGGGGGAGCTTTATGTAAGCTGGCAATTGCATGATTGCTTTAATGTCACTCTAAGCCATATCAAGGGCTCACCCATCCAAGATAACCTTTAGGTTTCAGAGGTGTCCTAACAGATGACTGGCAGATCAGAGAGGTCAGACAGGACTCCTTCCAATCTGATAAGCAAAAAAGGGCTCCTAAAGCAAGTGAGGAGGCTTGTGAGTGAAGGATAAATCAGATATTCTAATCTAACTGATAAAAAAGTGACAGAGACGGGACTTTGGGTCTCGTCTCCTGCCCTCTCCCATCCCACATGAAGGAAAAGCTTCCCACAGTTTCACAACGCAAATTTTTTGCATTTCCAATGTGGTGATGCATCTGTCCTGGCAGATGAACTCCAACCACATCATAAAACATTCGCAGAAGTTTTCCAAGTACAGAAATGGATCCCATTTTGAACCTGAAACACAGCTCTTTGATCGGACTTGGAGAATATTGCTCTACATTTTAAAGTTGACTGTCCTGCTCTAAATGTCAGTAAGTTCCAATAAAAACCATGAAGGATCATTCCAGGTTACACATTGGAGTGCTGGTTTTTTCCTTTGAAATAGGTACTTTTAAGGAATGCTGGTGGTTTTCAAAAATTCTCCAATTTCAATCTGGAAAAGAATGTAAGAACCAGAGCAAACGGCATCTCTCTGGAGGAGCAGAACTATTCAATTTACCCATGGCCCAGCACAGAAAGCAACAATCAAACCCCTGGATCAGTGCAGTCCTCATTATCTACCACCAAATTTCATTTTAATTAAGTTTTTGCTCGTCAAGAGGCCCTGTGGTCTGCACTATTTAGTCCAAGAGCTGGCCCCATCTGCTACAAGCCCCTGTGATACACATTCCACTTTCTCAACCTACAAGGTGTGAACCCAAGTTTCTCACTCGATACACAAGTCCTGGCGATTCCAAACATTCCAAAGGTCCCCAAAGCATCATCAGATTAGCTCAAAGCATATGACTCTTCTATGAGGAAAATGCCTCCTTCCCTTTGAAGTACTTGGTTCAGATTTTCACTGTACTTTACATACAGCAGGAATCCCACACTATCCTGAACGCAAGAAACTCAGAGTTCTCTAGATTTGCATTTGAACAGTTGCTAGAGAATGGAAAATAGAAAAATTCCTGCTGTAAATGGCAGAGAACAAACAAAATGT